TGCATTTGAAAGTTGAATTATTATAATTATTTCTCCATCTACGTGTATGAATTTACTTTACAAGTAGCTTATCAAGTCCATTTTTGCTCTGAAATTTTAATCCCCATGGCGCATAAAAAAATGAAAACCTTCGGAAAATAAATGTTTGAAAATTTAACTATCGACGAGATTTCAACTCTTAAGTAGTATACAAGTTATGTACAACATAATTCATGCATTCTCATCATTCAACGAAATGCAGAATAAAATTCATCTAAAGCATTTATTATAATATTAAAATTGCAGTCTTTTTGCTAGCGAAGCACCATCCGTCGCTTCCAATAATTTTCTCTTTAAGCTGGGTTTCTCTTCGGGCTGCCGTTTGATTGTCATCGGCAATGGTAATTTAGCTTTTAGAGTAGGCGGTGGATTATTACTAAAATAAGGCATTTGTAGAGCTTGATCGCAAGTACACCTTTCTAAAGGATTTATATTTAATAGACTGGCAAGGAGATCCAGAAGATCATCACCCGCCGCAGTGAATATATCTTTCAACGGTATTGCTGGAAAAGGTTTGAACTGAATAAAATCTGGTAATTGTGTCATTCCTGGCCACGTCTCTTCGGTTGGTGTTCCTAAAGCCTAAAAATATCATTCTAGATATTATTTTTCATAGTACAAGTTCTAACTCATAAGCATATTGTAAATTCATGCAAAACGACGATGCAAATAATAAAATATCGTACGATAAATATAATTTTGTCTATACCTTGTATCTTTCGAGTGTAAAAATACTTCGTATATTGTTGAAAAATATTATATATATTTGTGCATTAATGAAAGTATCGTTAAATGCTATAATTATTTGATTCTTTTACTATTATTATTCTCTTATGCCACTACGATTATGCAAAAGTATAATTGTATAATTGAGGTAAATTTTGCAGAAAATCAAATTATTGATAAATTAAATTTTAAATAATAAATATTACATCGAGTTTGGATAAAAATTGTATTTTAAGAATTCCTTCATATTTACGCTACCTGAAATATTCTAGTCAATTGATCCAAGTCAGACTCCCCTGGTAAAAATGGTGTACGAAGTAACAATTCGGCCAATATACAACCAATGGCCCACATATCAATTGCAGTGCCATAAAGTCTTGCGCCGTACAGCAACTCCGGAGCTCGATACCATCTTGTAACTACTTGATGGGTATTTATTCTGTTAGGAGAACCATAAAATTTAGCTAAACCAAAATCACCAATTTTCAAAACACCTTCGCTACTAATCAACAAGTTATTTGGTTTTAAATCCCTATGAAGAATCCAGTTAAAGTGCAAATAATCTAGACCTTGTAAAGTCTGTATCAAGTAAGCCTTGATATTTGCGGGTGTTAATACCAAGCTGCTATCCTTTATTATAACTTCCAAATCCGTGTCCATAAAATCAAAGACTAATGAAACGTTAGATTTGTAGCCAAAAACATCTGTAAACAACGATCCTTACGATTATTATGAATTTAGAGAGGGAAAAATTAGAATATTAACGTAACGAAACGCTTACCCAATAATCCTATAATATTATCGTGCTTTAATTCTTGCAATAATTTAATTTCTCTAAGTGCTGTTCTATTTATACCATCCTTAGCCTCAGCACGGCTTCCAACTTTGATCTAAAAAAAAAACCAATTAAAATTGAACTCTCAACCATTGTTTTTTTTTCTTTTTTTTTTCTCTTTTTCCTTAAAACGTGCATTAAGTGCTAGCAAACCTTTTTTACAGCGACAATTCTATCAGTCAAACTATCCTTAGCCTTATAAACCGTTGCGAACTAAAGACAATAAAATATATTAATCGTTACAATTGCATATTAAAATCTTATTTTGCAATGAGTAATCTAACCTGTCCTTCTCCAAGAAAATCAATTTTTTCGTATCTTCTCAATTTATCCACCATCCTAATGAAATTATCCTTACAAATTATCTAAATTTTAATTAACTTAATGACAATTTATATAAATTAAACATTTATGACCTATCAATCGCATAAATTAGTTTTCACGCTATCAAAGATTATACGTGACGGCCGGTACATATTTACATATATATATATATATATATATATGTGCACGCGCAGTCGCATAATAAACGCACACATTGCACGCGAATGTGTATGCAATGATACATAGTCATGTATGTCCGATGTATTTAGATGCCTTTGATTACACCGTAATTGCACACGCAGTTGATGCAAATTGTCTATGTATTTCGTTCTTTGGCAATTTAAAAACAAAACAAAAAAAAACAAAAAAAAACAAAATATATATATACTCCAAATATTCGCCAATTGAATTTAATCTTATGAGATAAGAAAAATATTCTCTTCGTTTCAAACGGTAAATATATGAAGTTTATAAAAAAAAAAAAACAACAACAACAACAACAACAACATTTCGTAACGTATGAATAAATTTCGATTCAATTTCCATTATTCATAATTATTTATGTTTTTCATTTTTAGTAATTAATATTATTCTATTAATTTTACTGTATAAATATTAATAGTTGATAATCTTAGTGACAACTCTGCTTTCTTCGTGATTCAATAAGTACGTAATAAATAAATAATGCGACGATCGTGTGCAAAAAATTGTAAACTCTTTGCTGAAAGTGGTGAGTTCAAGCATTAAAGATTAAAAAATTACGATTCATTTATTATTTTAACCAAATTCACATACCCTAATAATTTTCATTATTTTTCATACGATTTATGAAAATTTGGCAAAATAGTTTCATTCCAAACAAAAATTATAATAGTCATTATTTTGCGATAACGATTAGTTGTAATTATTTCGTTAAGCCAAACACTATCGCTAAACCATCGATCTTATATGACGTTAAAATAATTAATTTTAATAATATACTCTTATTATATCATATGATCTTATAAGATTATAAGAGATATTATTTTTTAAATAATACTCTTATTATATTATAGATTCTATCAAAATAAATACATACAAAATTAATTAATCTATTTCAATATCTAACAATAATGAAGTTTTAATTATCCTAATAATTTCACGTAAAATATCCAATTATCAATAATAACAATAATATAACTATATTATTGTATTAGATATTTTTAACTCTTCAGCTTGTACATACGTATTACGGTACATACATCACGTGCGCAATTATGTTCCTTTTTTAATTTGTTGATTTTCTATTGAAATCTATTGCACGTGACAAGAAAGAGAAAATTTAACTTTAATAGAAATAAAAGACGAGAGTTGGTAAAATTTTATTATTTTTCCTGCCCTGAACACTTATATTTACCCTCTTCGTTGTATAAAGCGCAATGGCTGCTGAAGGAAAATTAACTCGAATCTAACAGTATATTATTGCACAATCAAAATGATTTTGCCGAAGCATCGAATTTTCGTCCAACCAATCCGATCGAGATAAATATAAAAGTAGAACTAAACCTCGGGATTCTAGATATTAAGCCATATATATATATATATATATATATATATGTAATTTATATTTTTTCTTTATTTCTTTTCTTCTCTCATTGTACAGATTCTTTAATAAAGAACACGAACTTTCTAAACAGTCGCCGCGTGCGTTGAATTTAATCGATACGTTGTTTCGGCAAAGCTCACTTTTTTTTTTTTCTTGACGTAATACATTTTTCCTTAATGGAAAAGTTACATATGCCACGTGGCTTGAAACGATGGTCAATTTCATCATTCTCAATCGATAACTTTTTTTCTTCATTGAATTAACGTCGTTGAAATAGCTGACATTTTATTCGTGAAATTGCCGATAATTTTATTCATAGCGGACGGAAAAACGTGAGTCATCGCCGCATTCGAAAAATCTTAATTCAAGTAATATTCATTCTTAATTGTCTCGATTGTAATAAAGAAACGTACGCCTTTGTATTTCTCTATATTTTATAAAGAGAATTTTTTTCTTCTTTTTTTTCAACAGAAGCTATTAATTTTAATTATTTTCAGTCAAATGTCCCTGCGAAATATTTCATCATTATTTCCAATTAAAAAACGACTTTTTACCGTATCTGTTCTACAATATACAAAATACAAAATAGAAAGAAACCAAGCTATTAATCTCTACAAAGTCTTTCCATATTTACTCGGAGCATTTAATGTAAATATATCCATAGTATTTGTTTACAGTACAACAAGTTCATCATTTGCAAATGAAATAAGATATTTAGGATTTTCATTATACACATTTTATCATGTGTCTTAACTACAAGACTTAATGAAAATTTAAAAAAGAATCTAATTATTATTATTGTTTTACTCTTCATTTCATATATATATATATATATATATATATATATATATATATATATATATATATTTTTTTTGAACAACAGCCTTTTCGAAATCTGAAGAACTGACTTTTCGAAATCTTATGATGCTCCCCAATAAATCAATGATGACTACCAAGGGAATAATTCTTTTATTATATTCATTAATGCTTCTGAAATCATTCGTCCTCGCTTAATTGATAAAAAGATGCAAGTAACAATTTATTAAAACAATTTATTCTTTAGATACAATAACTATTGGCTTTGTTATAAGCAACATTTAACGCGTAATGAAGCTTTACGAGGTAGAAAGAAGATAAAAAAAAAAAAAATAAATAAAAAAAAATAAAAATAAAAAAAAATAAAAAAAAAATGAAGCAATAGTATTTAGCTATATACTTCCGTATTTATTAATATATAAAATTTAAATTAATTTTAATTTTTAAAAATTATTAAAATGTACAGAATATTTTTTATAATATTCACATATTTTCGATTCCGGCTAATACTGCCAATAATTATATACTTTATATTAATATAAATGATATAATATTTTTTTATTATATATATTTATTTTGTAGCTACGCTTCGCAACATTCATTTTTACGGCTTAATTTTTTATGACAATAAAAATTCAATATTCATCATTTTATTACGAACGTTTATTTTTTAACGTAACCGAATTGATTTTTATGATTTTTCCTTCGACGAAATATTAAAAATTGTAACGCAAACGATTAAAACAGAGGCATTCGTAAATTAATTTCATCGACCAAATAATAAGCCAAATATATATATATATATATATATATATATATATATATATATATATATATATGAAATGCTTTTTATTAATAACGAACGTTATTATTCAATTAAATAACCAAGTGTTGATTGCTTCAAATCCTCAAAGGCTTATTCAAAATGTAATTATCCATTGAATTTATCTATTATGTATGTGTAATATAGGATTTAATATTTTTTATACATCACAAATTTCAACAATTTAGCTAATTTAATACATATAGACTAATAACTGATAAATAAAATCGATTAAAAAGTTTATTACATACAACTTACATTATCTATATTGTAAATAAATTCATAAAACATTTATTTTTATAAAAATTCTTTATAACATTTTCAGTATTTTGTACATACAAACGTAAATTATAACAATTCGTTACAAATATTATAACTAATTTTTATTCATAACAAATTCTACGATACCTGACAACTCCTATATATTATTGATAAAAAAAACCGTTTTCTATTATTGATACAAATATTAAATTTTATTAAAATAAAATTGCACGTTTTTACATATCACAAAATATAAAATTTCATTTACTAACGCAAGTATTTAAAAATAAATTAAATGAAATAAATTATTTAGAAAATCATAAAATTAATTATGAATGTTATTCCCAATATTTTAAAAAGTATATCTTACCCACGAATATTGTAGAAGATACAATTAATATTTTTATATCTTATATACGTAAATTAATACTAGTTTCCAAAATCCACAGAAGGTAAATATATCGATCAAGAAAATTTAATAGTAAAACGGAATTAAATAATATTATACATATTATTAAATATCTATTTCTCTCTACCTCTCTCTACCCCTCTTTCTCTCTCTCTCTCTCTCTCTCTCTCTCTCTCTCTCCTCTCTCTCTCTTTATATATATATATATATATATATATATATATATATATATATATATATATAGAATTGGACAATTAGAAGAGAAAAAAAAAGAGAAAAAAAACTAATAATAGAATTTCATTATAATTTTGAATTCTTAATAGATTAAAATTTTATTATTTGGAAAAACTATCTAGTTTTTCATAACATCATTTAATTTATGTGAATTATAGTATAAAAAGTTATTCTAAATCGAACATTTCTTGGCAGTAACTTACAACATTTTTTACAAAACAACCTTAATTTTTATAATATATAAAAAATACTTTATATTAACGAAGATAATTAGATTTATCATTTAATGATCTAAAAATATGAGTAAATGTAATCGTTAAATGAAATATAAAAATTATGCCAGAAGCACGTAAAATTTGTACATGATTTTTTTCTACTACTACTACTACTACTACTACTACTACTACTACTACTACTGCTGCTGCTGCTGCTGCTGCTATTTTTTCAATAAATTATTTATAAATATAAATATTATATTTAATCTTTAGTACAATATTTTGTTTTCAATTCTACTTATATACAATTGTAATTAATCGATTAGTTAAAGCTTAATTCTGTACATATTATTGTATACAAAACGTTTTAAAATCACATTTGTTCAATTATATACAATTATTATATATATATATATATATATATATATATATATATATATATAATTTCTTTAAATATGACGAACGTGAAAACTAACAATATACTCGGCATTTGTACGCTGAACCGAGATTGCGAATGGATCTGTCGGGTGAAAGGTAAAAGCTACCAATCTTCTTGCAATTACCGGAGTCGATCTTCCTAGGATTCCTGCGTGCATTCGAAACTTCAAAAGTCCCGAGTCTCGTGCATAAAATCTAAAATAATAAACAATCATGAATTGTTATTGCAAATTGTATCTTTTAAATTTGGCGTTAGATTTTACCTGATTGGATGTTCTCCGCATGCCTTGGGCCTTTCCATCATTGAAACCCACTTATCATCGTAACAAAATAAAGATAGATCAAGGTAGGGAGAACTAGAATAGGACTGAGCGCAAATTGGTAATTGGGCGAGTAATCTCTTGGTTGCCTCTGTAATACCACCATAGCGAGCGCTTATAATTGTTTGCTTGAATCTTTGCTGCATCAATCTATTGAATCCGTGTAGATGTTTATTTTACATTTCAAGATTTATTCACACATAGAAACTATTTATGGATTTATTGCTTTTAAAATACGTACCGTGCATAAATGTTGTTGGACGGAGAGCACATATATTGACAGTCTGTACTCATTCGTGCGTTTCTAAAGAAGTCTGTGAAGTTTTCAAACTGCGTTAATAATTGGGTCGATGCATTATCGTAAGCTGCCAATACTTTTGCAGAGGCCATGTCGTAAACGACTAGCAAGGCTGGTTGAACATGTGGCTCGCTCGCTTGCAACGTTGCAACTTCTTCGCTTGCATATCTGACTAAAATGTGATTCGTGTCCAGCAATTGCATTTTCCACATTCTCAAAGAGTTAAGCTGCAAATTGAGATTTTCATTTGACAATGCAGATAAATTTGTCATCGATACTTTGTTTCAATCTGTCGTACCTGATCAAAGTACTGATAAAAACGACGCAATTCGTACGGATCCTTTGTAGTGTCACTTATGTACGCTGCTCTTTTATATAGATAGACGAGAAGCTTGTGTTTTAAGCTGTTGATAGTCGCATCTTTAAAAGGCCTTGAATTCCCACCAGGCCAGGCACTTGTGACTAAATAGGCTTCGTCTTCGAGACAGAACCTAAAAAATCAAAGCTTTCGTACTTTCGCCTATGATCTAACACGTAATATTAATTATCAAACGACTTACCTGCCAATTGTACGAACATTAATAAACATACCATCTAATAATTGAAAAATATGTATAGTCTGATGTTGTACCGATAAAACGGCTAGAATATCTTTATACAAATAGAGACCTATGAAAAGGAGAATAAGTAAGTAAATGGACTTTTTAACCGTTATGAAGCTTATTGGATATATACCCTGATTTTGAGATAAATAAATTTTATCTACTTTAAAGTTTCTTGTATCACAGAGCTTTCCACCTCTAATATCAACTAAATGAATACTATAATCCTCTAGAGGAGATCTGGGATTGGGGGTTAACGCTTCGTTATTGGAGTAGATCTATAACCAAAATGTTCATTAAATTTCAATTTTTACACAAATTACCTAAATTTCGAGTCTCAATAAGAAATCATACCTGATAAAAGTGTGGTCTTATGTCATCGGGAATATGCGCAGCCGAACCGACAATCACATACCGTCCATCGTCTGTAAAGAGACTGCATTCTCTGTTTAGCTGCTCATTACTTTGTACTACGTTGATAATCCATTTTGTCTAAGAATAAGAAAATTCTTTCTAAATAAAAAATATGTATTTACAATTCTACGGAGCAGTAATAGTTACCTTAAAAAATCGCTTAAAAATATGATTCCTAATGTGGAATGATCTCTCGTCGTTCTTGTGCCCAATATATTCCCCTTTACAGCCAACTAATAGATCCGCAGCCGCAGCAGCTCCTTGATATTCGTAAACCTCGATGGATGTTTGATCCGCGCTAAACGCCACCAAATACTTACCATCTGGACTAAATTTTCTTAAAAAACAGGGTGGTTTCTCAACATTGACAACCGTATAATTGGGAAAGACATTTTGGTAAAATTGCCTGGCTACAAGAACCTGTGTTCCAGGATATGAACAACCCATAGTTTCTCTTCGTCGTAATCTTATGGCTATATTTTGTGGTCCAATTTTTCTTGGTTTGATAGGACATAGTTCTGTTACGATTTCGATATTGCCTTCCTTTTCTGTCATTCTCTATCAACACATCAATTATATTAAATAAATAACTTTTTGTTCCAGTTAAAACTAACCTAAACATCACCTAAAATAATGTTTTCGACGAAATATTGTAAAATGATTATAAATTTCGTAATACCATGTACGAGGGGGTTACTTTTCGACACACGACTCATGATTCTTAAAAACCATTTTTTCCACAAATCTACTATTACTATCTTTTATTCGCAAATTTGTATCTCACAGGATACCTAACCATAACGGATATATACAAACGAATGATGTAACATGGATTATATAATGCACGAGTGTGTGGGTGAGCGTGGGGATGCACAGATTTAAAGGATATAATTGAACGGGGAGCGGGAGGTAATGGAGGAAAAAACATTTCCTTTTAAATTTAAATTGGTCATTCGCACGGTCGATAATACGTCGATTACTACATTTTTCATGTGCAAAATTATAGAGAAAATAAAACGACATTCCGGAATAAATATAAGATTTATTTCTTGTACTAATTTACACAATTTATAATTTATAAAGCAGATGTAGCATCACATTGTAAATTTCCATGTAATAACAGTTAATATAAGGCTGATGATAAAAATGTGATCTATTAAAAATTATTCAAACATAAAGATACAAAATAAACAAACGCTACATCAGCCCCACAAAAAGATTTAATGCGAAACACTAATTCTTTTTTCGTAAGATTTTCAAACGCTCTTACAAATGGCAAAAATAATAGGTTTTTTTTTTGTTTTTTTTGTTTTTGTTTTTTTTTTGAATGCTCAAGATTCGAAGAACAATAAATATTTCATCTTCATTATGCTGCATCGAGTTATGTTTTTTTTTTCTTTCTTTCTTTCTTGTTTATCATTATAGTTATAAAACTTTCTTACGAAGTATGCATTTCTGTTTTTAATTGAAAAGTTATGTATTTCTATAAGATGAAATACGTTTTATAATAATCTCACATAATAATTCAAGCATTGTAAGTTTAGTAAACTGTACAATGCGATTTCTCTCTTCTTCTACACTCGACTTGTTTACATTTTATTTTGTTCACACAGCGTCAAACCGAAGCCATTGTAGTACGTCACTTCGTCCGATGTTCTGATTTTCAATCACTAATGTTATTAACTTTACATTCTATACAAACATGTATCAAGGTGTACAAGTACACTTGAATCATAATCTTTACAGAAAAGTTTACTAGCAAATCTATTCTGCTTTGCCATCAGTAAACTTAAATTTCTGTAACTGCTTTTTAACTCTTTATTCAAGTTGTAAATTAGAATAGAATAAAAATATGTACAAGTGTTTTTACGTTACCGCAAAAATCATTAACATTAGTTCTTAACACACAAAATATATACAAATCGCACAACTCTTCACAGTTTGCCATTCCTTTATCATTATTGAATTCTTATCTATTATAAGAGCTTTGAAAATTAGTTTAGCTAAGCAACCTTTATTTAAAGTAATTACTATATAAAATATAAATATCCTTTTCTAAACAATAGTACTATATTTCTTTTATTAAAGAGAACTTTTTTTAGACCATGCTGTTGGCAAAGCAGCGAAGTTAACAAAAACAATGTACAATAATAAAAAATTTATCATCCATGTACGTACGATATTAAATTCAAATAAAATAGTATTTTAGAGCGTTAATTATTTCATTAATTCATTATTTCACATCGACGACTATCTTTTGGTGTAAACACCAACTTATACGAATGAAAATATATAAGTAATTCTATGTAAATTAAAACAAATGCACTCTTGCATAAAAATGTATAAAAATTAAACAGTTTGTAACAAACATTTACTAAATATTTACCAAGAGAATGAATTACTATACAATTAAATAATTAAATTAACTTAAATCCAGAAAAGCGGTTTATCAAATATAAAAGTGAACAGATGTGCCTGAAAAATGTTTTATAATAAATAAATTATAATGAACATAATTTATGAGCAGTTCGATTGTCATTTGCCAAAAGTCAAATTTAGCTAGGAAAGTTCTCATTTGAAATTAAAAATCGTTATCAATGGTGACATTTTTAATCGAAAGAGGGGAAAAAAAAAAAAAAAAAAAAAAAAAAAATAGAACGAAAAATTTCAAAATGCATACGTAAAAGTTAAAAATTCTGTTTTTGTTACACTACATGAAGGTAGCCAATTAATATGAAAGCGATAAATTAATTTCAAATTTCATTTGGTGAATCATTTCTTGAACTGCTACCCAATGATGCCGAAGATGTCCTGCTGCTACTCGATTCGTTTGCAGCTCTAACGTGAAACGAAATATAATTAATTATTACGCATTTCATCGATTATGCAATTGACGATATCATATCGCAATTCAGAATGTGTGCAATAGCCCACGACGTTTCAAATCGATTAAGAAGGGTGGGGGGGGGGGGGGGGGGGGGGGGGGGGAGGAGGTGATGGAGGAGGAGAGCGTTTAACAACGTGTGCCTCGATAAGTTATTGGCAAAAGCAGCGTAACGCACACTTTCTGAAATTGCTTTTGTACGTCGAGTTGTTACCTAAATAATGCAGCTATGCTTGGCCCAATCGTATCTTGATTTGCATCGACCGTTGTTTGATCTCCCAAACTTTGTCTGCAGATTGGACAAGTCCCGTGCTAAAACAACACAGATGATAAATACGTGGCGAAAATAGGCGATCAAAGCCTTCTCTTTATGCTTACCAATTCGAGCCAAGGAACGATGCAGGATTCGTGGTAATAATGCTGACAAGGAAGCTCTCGAACAGGCTCTTGAAGGACAAAGTCTTCCCAACATACCGAACACTGTAGTTTGCAATCTGTAACACATTGCTTTATCAGTCTTATAAAACTCTAGCCTCCATTGAAGAAAAGTGAAGAAAGGCGAGAGGGAAGCTTGGGTAGCTAATTAACAGTTTAGCGATGAAGCTTCGTCCCTCGACAGCCCTTACCAACTTGCGTCTGTGATACTGTTGTTGTAGGTATTTCCTCAATTTGCTTTTTAGGTAATGGCGGTGGTCCAGTTCCATCCATTTGGTTTAACAAGTGTGTCACAATAGAGTCCAGTCCATTTTGGCCCCAAACGTAGTCTCCAGGATTGCCCAAGAACAGTCTAACATATCGAATTTACATTAATTCATTAGGAGGTCGAGATAATTCCTATTATAGACAGATATATCGGACAGATAGTAGTGACTCAGTGTCGATCCATCGTCTTAATTTCGGACGCGCAATTACGACGGGCAAAGCTTTTTTTTATTTTTTGTCGCGCGCATGAAAATTTTCAAGAGATTAGGTCGGTAAATTCTTAACGTTTAGTACGTACACGGGCGTTTGACCTCCTTGTCCTTGAGGAAATCCAAATCCTATTGTTGAAAGATTGAAAAAAAAGTCCTGTATTAAATTATCTATTTGAGGTGGAAATCCCTGCTGTTGCTGTGGATTCCTAGAACTGCAAAATTTTACTTTAATCCAAGATACTCCAAGCGGAGCTGAATTTGACCTTCATTTTCATTAGTGTTCTCGCATTATAGAAACTATCTATAACAAGCCACTCGTAAGCAGCGAAGAAAGTGACTCTACGTCTTAAGCAGAAGACACTAATGAAAATGAATCGAGTTTGAAGTTTACTGAGCCACTTGTAAAACCTTGTGTTTCGAAGACTCGCTTGAAAGTCCGCTATATCTCTAACCGCAGGCGATCTCCTGAAGCCGTTATTCCTAGCACCAGAATTTTGTGATACTTCCGTCGCTGCTCTAATTAAATTTATTGGTAAGTCAAAGGAATCTGAGAACTGTCAACAAAACATTGTCATGAAAATAAAAATCAATTGCCAATTTGCGGTCGTACTCTTTGTTTACGGAAAAGAAACTTCTCAATGAAATCCAATGTGTCATTAATCATCGAAATTCTCAAACGACAAGCCATCCAAGTCGATTACACGTTAATTTTAAACTAACCGGTGTACTTTAATCGCTAAACAGCGGGAACGTGGCATCGAGCGAACGTTCCAAACGTGGCATAATAGCTTTGCATAGTGTTAAGGCGTAAACATGCCTAAGTTTCTTTATAAAATTGTTTGCACCCGTAGCCCCTACGTTTTAGCCACTTGCTACAAGGGCAAAAAGCTAAGCAACCCATCTGGCCGAGAGAGTAGGGCATTCGATTCTGGCTCGTAAAGGCTTATTCAATTTACTCGTCTACTCGACTGCGGCAAAAGACTTGGCAAAACTTTGATAAAGTCTGTTTTCGAGGTAAACAATTAGCGAACGACTAAGGCGTGCAAATCGTACATCATCGAAACTATCGTCGTCCGCATCCAGATCACTGAGATCCCGATTATCCATATCCATTCTGGAGCCATTGTCTGTGTTATTCCTCTCGAGCTCTTCGATGAAGCCATCGTTACACCTTGGGCATGTGTAATCCTGTCGAAGTAAACAACAAACCACTATCAGACTGTAGCTAAGCATAATCATCGCTGCTCCCCAGCGCATAAGGGCTCACTCGAATACTCGATGGGTGGCCTTGGTAGGCGAGAGTATCCAAGCTGGACCCACACCCATGATGGGAGAATTCGTTAAGAGTATTTGCCACGGGTGGTCGGGGTAGCGAGCGCTCGAGCGTTCGAACGCAGGAATAGAAGAGGATCGAAGGACGATGGACCAGGCATCATCATCATCATCACGAGTGTCACGTGCGCGAGTCCGGGTCTCGAGATCGGTTCCCCCCTCGCCCCAGCTCGTCGCCCGTCAACGAAACCCACCATCCGTCCCTCTCGTCACCTTCTCCAGCCAATCACTCCGCGTCTCGCATGCATTCGCGGTCCGAGGACTCGAGGACGAGGCCCGTACACCCCCGTCCCCAAAACTTCTCGCGGAATCGCACGGATATACATGGCGATGCATGCCTCGGCCGACGTACGTGTATTACACGTTTTCCGTCCTTATCGCACCCGTGGTGCGGTAGCCTTGATTGAGTGAGTGAGTGAGCGAGCGAGCGAGTAAGCGAACGAGACAGACTGACGAACGGACGGACGGACGGACAGACGAACAGAAGGATGCGTGGATGGCTGGATGGATAAATGATGAATGGATGAATGCATGAATGTATAAATGTATGGATGTATGGACGTGTGGATGGATGGATGGACGGATGGATGGATGGATGGATGGATGGATGGATGGATGGATGGATGGATGGATGGATGGATGGATGGATGGATGGATGGATGGATGGATGGATGGATGGATGGATGGATGGATGGATGGATGGATGGATGGATGGATGGATGGATGGATGGATGGATGGATGGATGGATGGATGGATGGATGGATGGATGGATGGATGGATGGATGGATGGATGGATGGATGGATGGATGGATGGATGGATGGATGGATGGATGGATGGATGGATGGACGGATGGATGGATGGATGGATGGATGGATGGATGGATGAACGGATGGATGGATGGGTGTGGGCGGGTGGATAAATGCATGGATGTACAGATGCGTGAATGCATGCATGGATGGACGGATGGACGATGGGTGTATGTGCATGTGAGTTTGTGAAAGAGAGAGAGAGAGAGAGAGAGAGAGAGCGCGCGCGCGAGCGCGAGCGTTAGCCGTTGCCCGTATTAAGACGAGGAGGCGGGATCGGAATGTCGGGCTGGCGGTCGCGGGGCCAGGCCCGGGCGCCACTTACCGGGCGTAAATGCTCGATCTCGACGCTACATCGGTGGCAAAAAAATCGGGTCATCGACGAAGTCCCGTCCACAATGGCTTCGGCCATGTTTCCTCGCGTCTTCCTCTCGCTCGCCACTCTCGGCCGAAGTCGCCAGTCGCCACTGCTGAACTACCCACAACCCAGTCGCAGTCGGTACACAATGTGCACTCACATTGCCAGAGGGCCAGCCTCACCAACGGGGACCCCACACATGCGCAGCCCGCACGCACCGACGGGATGTGGACGGCGAAGGCGAAAGCAAAGGCGACGGCGACGGCGAGGGCTTCAGTGGCCGGGGGATCGGGGCGAGCGGCGAAGCGCCGTGGTGCGACGGTGGTGGGCGATGACGAGGTAGCGGCGTGTGAAGATGGTGGGGACGACGAGGTATCGGTCGTGAGGCGGCGAGAGGGATCGCCGGCAAGGGGTCGGGTCGGGGCGGGGTGGGGAAGTGCGTGAGACACACTAGTGCATGCGCTGGCGCCGGAATTTCCCGATCTTGGCTTCGGGTAGTGTTGGTATTAGTAGCGGTAGTATTAGCCGTAGTGGTAGTAGTGGCAGTAGCAGTTGTAGTAGTATTAGTGGCAGCGGCAGCGGCAGCGGCAGCGGCAGCGGCAGCGGCAGCGGCGGTAGTGGCGGTGGCAGAGGTGGCGATAGTAGCGGTATATGTATAGGTAGTTGTAGTTGTAGTTGTAGTTGCCGTTACGTTGTCGTTGCGTCGTCGTCGTCGTTGTCGTCGTCGATCGACAGTTCCGCTTCTACGTAGATCCTCAGAGAAGCTGGAAGCGCGCGAGAAGTACGAGCTCTATCGTGGTAAGGCAACCTTATCCCAGGAGACGACGCTAAAGTCCAAAATAACCCGCTCGAAACTTTCTTGCCACGCCTCGATGCATCGTTCTCGTACACAGGATTAGGCAACTTAGGGGCCCTATCTCGTGGCGACCACGATGGGCGGTAGGTCTATACCCGACTCTTGTCGCTATCTAGGTTACAGCCGCCTCCTCGATGATGTCCCGATTATTACGTGGCGGGAGAAAGAACGTGGACTGTAAAGAGAGAAGGAATCAAAAATCTTGGAAAATATGCGATCCGGTCCTTCACTAACGATCATTTCCGTCCGTTCCTCAACATACGATTCTCATGTAATGCTTCGCAAGGGCAACTTGAGAGATTGTTCCACTGTGAGGACGGGATCGTTTCGTTACTGCTGCTTCTTCCTCCTCCTCTTTCTCCCCCAGCCCATCCGCCAAAACCTCGCAATACATTTGTATCAGCGCGCGCGTGCGTGTGGGTTATTGGGCGCGCTGGATCATTTTTGCTTATGGCGCGCTCGCACTTTACGACGAATTCCGATGTGGCGGTGGATCTCGTCGTCTCGGCCAATGGAATGGGAGGAGGACGGAGACGGACGCGGCGCCTATTGCATCGGCCTAGAAGTTTCGACCGAAGTTCGGTATTGGCGGAGGCTGTTGGTGCGCGAGGGGCTCGTGGATTCCGAATTGTCGGCTGAATTGTCCGGTGTGAAGTGATCAGCGAATGCTCTAGTCGTGGTGGATTCTGCGAGTGAGCGAGGAACATCGTATATTTTGTTTGTCAATCGAGCTGATTTGATTAATCAAGGGGTGGTGCACCAGGTGCAAGAGAAATCGCGAATATGTTGCGTGCTGCAGCGAGTCTGCTGAAGCCGAGGACATGTCGGGGTATCTTGGCGCGGTTGGAGTCGAGCAAGTCGACTTCAGTGACGTTAACTGATAAAGACAAACTTCTCATAAATTTCTGCAATCAGCCGGACATTACTTATTCGGACATGCAGATGGTCTGCAGGCATATATCTGGTAATTCAATAAAATAACAATCGAGTGGCGGGAGGGTAGCGCGTTGGCGCAACTTAAATGCCTCGATCGATTGATTAGCCCTGGGCTTGGAGTCGGTGGGTGATTCGCAATATTGTTTTGGATGAGTCGGGGGTTGGTTAGAGAAATTTTTCCAGACAATATGATGGAATTATGTAACGTATAGTGCGTCAATGCGATTGTTGAATGGTTATCGATGGATGGCAGGGGATAGGTGAATTTATAAAGTACGATAAGAGTGGTGTAATATCGTTGTATGTTATTGATTTTAGAATTCCCGGAGATACCGGAGCCAGAGCTCGTTACTTGTTTGATGAAAGCGGCAAGAAGGTTGAACGATTTTGCAATGACCGTCAGAATTCTCGAGATGGTGAAATTTAAATGCATCGTCAATCCAATTGCCTTTTGTTACATAATGCAAGAGATCGAACCTGTATTAACGGAGCTTGGTATTAATAGTTTAGAAGAGCTTGGCTACGATAAGCCTGAATTATATCTGGAGGATACGCATTTCCATTAAGAGAACGAAGGACGGTAATTTTCAGAGACTAGTTGGGAGTAAGAAGAGCGAAGAGATGTAAGTTAGAATTTAATGTTAAAGTAAAAAAGTTAAAGCTTTGTCACCTTATGTACTGAATAAATCGATACAAAAATCTACTTCGCTGATTATTCTTATTGTTATTTCGATTAACTCGCAATAAGGTGAGTTTCAAAGTAGAGACAGTGGTATGTATGTACTGTATTTTAATTCTTTGCCCATTCCGTTAGTTCCTTTTGTTACTTGCGTTTGGAACACGATTGGAGCAAACTTTCATTTTTTACATCAAAATTAACCAAATCTTAAGTATGACACGTACAGACAACATATTTACAAATTACATTACATAGTACACAGTGATAAAGTATTGTACACATATCTCTAACGCGAGTCCAAACAACATACTTTTAAACTTACAGATGTTTCATATACAATCGATAAACATTAATCAGGCAATCGTTAAAATTAAAAGACATATAAAATACAACTGATTTACATTTTATTTTTATAAATGCACTAATGTTCTTTAATTTCTATATCTAGTCCATAAAAAAATACATGCGCACGCATATATAAATATATATATATATATATATATATGTGTGTGTGTTTTTTTGTATATAATTGAATAAATAGGACTAGATTGCAAAAATCGAAATTATTTAGGATTGCACAATCCACCTTACTATATTTATATTATTTTACCTAAATTACAAAATTCTTCAGTAAAAATGACTAAGAAATTCCATTGCAACATAAAAAGTATAGAACTTAAATTTAATTTTCTTAACCAAGTTTGTAAGACTTTATATGAAAACAATAATTTCACACGTAAGTATACATGCAGATAAAAACACAATCGAGCTTTTAATTAAAAATTTACATAATGATTATGTTTGAAAATTAACGTAGATCTGCCTAAAAATGAAGATTAAGAAATATTTTACAGAAACTTAATAGACTACGATTCGCGCTAAATACGATGATGTGCATTGAAATTTTGGATCCTTAGATTTCAAATTCTTAATGTCTATTTGTACCTCTCAGAAAATTTTACGACATTTTCCTAACACTGCTACAACATGAATCGTAAGTCTGTTGCTGTATCAATTATATAATTCTATTAACTATTATAAATAACCCAATTCTGCTTGACAAAATTATTATTATATAACTAGTTAATCGTACGATTTCATGAATTGGAAATACCAATTCTTTCGCCTCGTATGCCTGCCTACATTATGTCCATTACATTTCTCTCCCGAAAAGTCGATTTGAACTAAAACTATTTACCCCTCTCCGTCATACATTATACTTAAAGATTAATAAATTGAAACTCGAGATAAAATTATACTACATTGAACCAACTTTCATCCTTACTTCACTTCTCGCTCTGTCAAATCAGTGCCGTAACAATATTAACATAGATTTGACATTAAGAGGCAATAAAATACAAACAGTCCATTTAGATATTTAAAATCAAATTTTTATATTTAAATTTAGCTAAATTGCGCCCTCGACTAGATTATTTAAATTATTAATTTACCTTACATTATTAAAATTATTCATTCACTGTTAATAATAAATATTAATATTTATTGAAAAGTTAAGGAAAGAAATGTAATCTTTCTTTCTATCTTTTTCCTTTTTTGTCAAAAAAAAAAAAAAAAAAAAAAAAAAAATTGATCAATCGTTTTCCGCAATGCAACATTGTAAAATTTTTAATTCAAGAAACATCTGCATGGGTAAAGTTTTGTTTTTATCATACGTATGTACACTTTTAGTAATTAACATAATTTTTGAATAGTACTAATTTCCAATTGACCCACTTTACGCGTGAATATCTCGTTTTCAAAAAAACAGACAATTCTGTTCATTTAATGAACGATCAATTTTCTATTTATACTTCTTAAAGCAGTCGTAATCACTCGAATGTGCTTTATGCATTAATGGTATGACAGAACAAGCCACCATGAAATAATCATATGCCCGTGTTAATAAGAAAAAAATTAATCAAATTGGCGATCGCGATCATAATTTACAGTTGCTTTTTTTTTATTTTTTTTTTTTTTTTTTTGACTTTATCGGAGGAGAATTAAAGAGTGTCTTTGGAAATAAATGCGAAATTTCGATAAATTTTTTAGGGATAAAGGAATCTCTACAGTTCTTCGACCTATCTATAATATGTTGTCCTTTTAAAGCGGTAAAATTATCGTAATTGATATTTTAACCGCGGATCTCAACATTATCTCAATTTGTGATCTTGTCTCAGCGTTCAAATGCACTGCGAAGTAACAATTCGTATTGTGACGAGTACCGAGCAAGTCCATCTCTTGCGCAGCAAAAGTTTCTCATATACATTATACAATATTATCGAAGAGTCACGCAGTCCCTGCAATTGTCGGGGATTTTACTCGGGACTGGATTCAGCCTGGGGCTGCTGCTGGCTGTCCTCGTCCTTCACAACGTCGCCTTGCATGGCCTTCGTCAGAACGTTCGCGTCTTTAAGCGATATGACCTGGAGGACCTGGTGCTCACCCGCGGCGTTGATCATCGTCATTGTCGGGTGACCCTGAATCGTCACCGCCTCGATGCTCGCCTCGCCGTTACCCGGCTCGACTTTCGGCACTTGCACCATCGGCGTCATCACCTGCATGGTACCATCGCTCTGGATATTGGCCACCATTGTTTGGTACATACTGGCCGGCACCGGCACGGTTATGACGCCCGATACAGAGACCGGATACCCTGTAACATGCCAAATCACCGGTCGTCCTGTGCGTCCTTAGCACACTTCTGCTATGCTATTCTCTTTTACAGCCAGTTTACAGTGATATTTTCTCTACTTTCACGCAACAAGCTAAATAGATTTCTAGATTACAGCACATAGAGATATTTGAGCCAAGTGGAGTTAGTTTACAGGATGAACATCAAGTTCCTGGTGAAAATAATACGACTGTTAGGCTTTCATTGCAAAAACGTCACAAAGAAAAACAAAAACATAATTATATATGACGATTAAAAAATTGTTTACTCGGAATAATTTATCTATTGTCATTAAAAAAACTATTATTTATGTAAAACCATTTTTTAATGGCTATCAAATAATATGCGTTCAATTTTATTGTTATTTTTGTAATAATTCATATAGTTGCCGTTTAATGGAAATTTAATCGATCTAATAATAATTAACAAATGAATATTAGAAAAGAGCATTACAAATGATTAAAGAAAAAAAAAACAACATCGGTTCCTTGGCATTAAACGTAGAAAAAAAGTCACGTTTTTCAACTAACAAAATTAATGACTTTATTTTTCTTAAAGATAACTAATTTCGTCATAGTTATTATGCACCCATACACACACACACACACACATAAATATATATATATATATATATTTTTTTTATACAAAAAACAATAGGTTACTGAATAATTTTATATAATATTGCATTCATCCTATTTGCAAGATTAATTTTCAAAAAAAAAGAAAAAAAAAAGATTTTAAAGTATTTTTACTTAGATACTTGCTATGCTCTTTTTGCACATGGTCATTTTCACCAGGCTAACAATATAAACATTATCTTAATAAATGAATAAAAAAATAATGTAACAATCGTACGTACACAATATTAAAATTACAACTATCAAATAAAAAATTTAATATTAAAGATATATATATATATAACAAAAAATGAATAAATAGAAAAACTAAAAATTATGAAATAAAAGGAGAAATATATTATTATTATTACATGCAAAACAAAATGTTTGCATTAACACAAAGTAAGTGATTAAACTTAAATCAAACGTAAATAAGAAAAATGGCAACTTAAATAAAATAATTATTTGTCCATTATTACGAGGGTGCGATTAAGAAAAACGTATATACTTACTAGTTTGTTTAATGTTGTTTAATTCAATATACTTTAACAGCAAAAATATATTAACGTGATTTCTTCTTGCACACCTCGATTTCATCTTTTTTCTTTTTTTGATTTTGTTTTTGTTTTGTATTGTTTTGTTTTTTTAAATAAAAGTAAAAAATGAAGCACAAAACACACCTACATAAGAATCAAATTTACTAACAATCACTTTACAATCAATACTCAACTGATACAGATTTAAAACTAAAAAATACTTAATTTATCACGGTAAAAATACGAAACGCGATAATAAAACAAATAATCACTCTATTTACAGAAAATTTATTTTGCGTTTAATTAAAACTAGATGATAATCATAATGGTGGAAATAAATCATAAAACAAGGAATTGTGTTTTTCGTCTGTAATTATTATGATTCGCAATCTTTATTTACTTGGTCAATGGAGTAAGGTTTAAGAATCCATGATATGACTAATATCTTTGCATCAAAGACTGCGATTAATATTGTAAGAAATTGAAATTACACACACAAGTCAATCGACCAACCGGCTCACCATTTGTACTATGCGCGCATTATAATATGTAAACGTTGATTACAATACATTCTTAACTAAGCAGTATGTACATACATATACATATAAATAAATGCTCGGTTCTCAGCAGTGAAATCTGATGACATTTACAAGGAAAAAAAAACAACTATTTAAAAGTATTGGCAATAGCCATGCTTTAATTGCAGTTACGCGAGTGATATTCACAGCTCGTGTTGTGTCAGTGACTCTCCATGGATTCTTAAATTGTTGATAAAAACCGAAAATAATATGGAATCTGACTTCAGTTCTCACAAAATTACCTTTTCTCGCCAAAATTAATTTCGTTATGTACACGTTCCAAAATTAGAAAAGAAAAGAAAAATTCTTTCGACTAATTAAAACTCTACTTGGTAGAATAAAAATTACGGAACTATAAGTGGATTTTGTCACTTCGAAGCTGGTGACGCATACAACATGCAAAATAAACAAGTGTCCTGAGGGTCTAATGTATAAGCGCAATTCACTGCTCGAGTAGTTCCTGACCGGCGACGGTGCAGAGCCTATAGAAAACAGTTTTACCATGTCCGTCTTCACCGGTGAGGATAATTTGGCCATCTTGGCCCAAAGTAGCTTCGGTAACACTGTTTAAATCCACCGCGACACTGGCTCCGTCTGCGCCGCTTACTTCAGCAAGAGTTTGTACCTCTCCTTGACTTGTATGAATCTGAAATAAGCGGAGCGCATTAAAGCAAATGAATCATCAACATTTATTGGCCTCTACGTTCCATCTCCGCTAACGCCCCAATCAATCGCTCACAATTATTCCTCGACTACAACAATAGCAACAATAACAACAACAAAAATTAATAAAATAAACGAAATGGAATATTTATATTAACTAACTTCATTATCTATAATGTAGATAGCGCGATAATATCTCGACTCGTATTCAGCTTTAAAAGAGGAACATATCATATTTTTATCATACGAAATTGTATCCGATTAACCACGCGATTATTTAACTTGGAATGAAATTTGAACTTACGGTAGCAACTCCTTGCACTTGGGCAGTAGTTCCATCCGGTAACGTAATAATTGGATTACTAGGATCTACTTGAATTAGGGAAACTGTTCCATCAGCATTTGTTATCGTTTGCAATACCGTTGGATATTGTGTCATCTACATAAGAATATAAAAGAACAATGTCATTATTGCGCAATAAGGCTGATCAATCGCATGTATCTAGTGTGCATGGTTCAATGCTCGAGAAAGCAAAAATAACAACAAATAAATAAATAAATAAATAAATAAATAAATAAATAAATACATACATACATACATATATATATATATATATATATATAAAGTACAACAACAACAATAACAACAACAACAATAATAATAATAAAATAATCGAATAATCGTTATAAAATATGTGTGCGTGCGTGAATCGTGTGTGTGTGTGCGTGTGTGTGTGCGCGCGTGCGTGTGTATAGGTGCGTGTATCGTGTGCGCTAGTGTAGGGTGGGGAGGATGCGCGCGCGCGCTTGCGGGTTCGCGCGGGCGCAACTCAAAATGATAATTAAACGCAAATAAGGGAAACAAAACACCAGACGCCAAGGAAAACAAATAAATACAAATGTAACTCGTGAACAGAAATTGACAGCGCGTTATCCAAATTAGCCGATCATATAACCGATCATATAAATTGGTTAACAATTGCCTATGATGGATAAAACATGGTCAAGTCGAGTAATTTCTGCGTAAGAGGAAAACAACAAGAGCGACGTGCGCGTAAAATGAAAAAAATTAAAAACCGATGAGATCCATAAGGGATCGTCGACAAGCATCGTATATAACCGCAGAATAGGGTCTCGATCGATCGACTTGCCCATGTGCCTCGTTCAGCTCCGTCCACTGACACCTGAGTGGCAGTGGCGAGAGCGGTGGGCGACGCGGCTATGATTTGCGTTGGCGAGGAGTTTCCCTTAGATGAACCAGTGCCGCTGATGCGAACGACCCCCACCGTCTGTTGGGACTGGCTGCTCTGGCTGCCGGACTGCTGCGTCGACGAGTGGGCCGAAGGCTGCTGTATGAGTATGTTGGACTTGTCGTCCTCCTCGCTGAACGCCGGCAGCAGATCTTCCCTGCCGTGAAACTTGTAGCAGTTGATGACGATTTGACGCAGGGCGTGCGTCCATGAGATCTGCTTAATTTGAAAAGGTTTTACGGAAAAGAGATTAGTTAGCATGGTCGTTCCATCGAGTGATTATGGTTATCAGGTCCTTACATGAAATCCCTTGTAACTATTATGGATTTGTCGTTACCGATTGATAAGCACGAGCTTAAGTCGTTCATTAGTTGGCCAAGTATTGGCTGACGAAAGTCGACTTGGCGATGTTAAGCTCGCTCGTTCGACCGGGAGGAAGCAAGCGCGAAGTCTCGGATAAGACGCGACGCAGCTCCCATCAATTTTATCCCTTTTATCAAACGGCTACTTCACGCGACAAAATTACGGTAAGGTTAGGTTTAATCGGCGGCGGCGGCGGTGGCGGCGGGAGGACGAGGAGTAAAGAGCAGATAGATCTATAGGTTTGGCGAATGTTTGAGTGAGACAGGCGAGGAGTCGAAGGTGCAGAATAAAATAAAACATAAATAATCTGGGACCCTGTCGTGAGAACGACAATTATCAAACTAATCGGCTTTCCATCGGTCTAGCGACATGTCAAGCAACAACGACTCCCGCGACTTGATGGGCATTTAACTCCGCGGCAACTTTAATAGTTTAACCAACCAGTGCCCGTTAGTAACCAGTAAATAAAAGGCCAGCTTTCATGTAAACACCTTGTTCGGATGAATAAAAAACAGACAGAGCAAAACTATACCTTACGTACCTTCTTCCATGCGCACATTGGCCCAGGGCAGCTCCTTCGGCCACCAGGGTGGCCTCGTGCTCTCTCTACCCCAACCCGGCTTACCCCGGCCCGTCGAGTACTTCAGCATCAGAGGTATGAAAGCACGCAGCTGCGCTTGGGTCATCTTCTCGACGGGCGTAGGTATGCCGTCGATGATGAGTGGTGGCAATTCGTAGAGGGAGGGGTCGTCCTGGACCGGGGGTGGTGCCTGCTGAGCCAGCGCGTTCTCCAGCTCCTCCATTATCGCGGCCTTGAGGTTCTTCACGACGTCCTCGAGTGGCTTGGCGCCGAAGACTTTATAACTACTATTTGGTTTGCCCGGCGTCGCGACCAACACGACCGCCTGTTGGCCAACTCGCGTTGCGAACTCGTCTATCGTTTGCTGGAAAAACAATGGAGAGGGACGATTTTTTTCGAGGCTCACTTGCACGTGGCGCTGTGCCGCGGTGGGATGGGGTTCGCTTTTGTTTTTGTTCTTTTTTCTTTTAGCCTCCCTCTCGTTTCATCAATTCTTACGTATTACGTAGCTGAGAAAGGTACTTATTTTTCATTCTGCTCGGTTGATAAAATTCAAATTTTCGAGGGCCCCGTGCCTGACCTCTCGCTTTATTCAGACATTTATCGACCGAATCGTCATGGCATGCTTCCCACCATTTCTACTGGCTAAAAATAACACGCATCCCAAATGTTTCTTTAAAAATAAAAACTATTTTAAAAGGCTTTTTTTTTTTTTTTAAGGACGAATCCTTGGCACTTTGAACGACGGTGCAGTGCCTGTTGTTAATCGTCACATGCACGTCTATAGCATTACAGCTAGCAAGATATCGTTTGAACGGACACAAGTTTGGCTGTCAAAAGATCTGTGCAAAAAAAAAAAAAAAAAAAAAAAGAGGGAAAAATATCATACATAATCTGTGGTGATAAAGACAATTAAGTAAGACGTATATCATGACTTTACTCCTGTTATATGCCCGCTTCTTTTTTTTTTTTTGCATGGAATTTCACGTATATTTTTAACTATAATCCTAGTATAATGATCGAATCAGTATTAATTTAGTGAATTTTTACATTGTGATAAGAATAAATGTATATTGTGCTTTTTATTTAATAGTACGCATTTACATTTGTATTATCGTATAAAATTAAAGTTACATAACTGCTAACTGTACTAACTAGTTTAACGCACACACACACACACACACACATACGCGCACGCGTATACGTACTTGTTTTGTTATTGAAGTTTTTTTTGCTTCTTCAAAATTTCGAATATGAACGCCAATTTTAAGTTAGAGCAACTCTTTCGTAGCTGATATTTTCAATTATGCATTTTCGTCCATTCTCATGGGGTTACGTTATATCTATTTTAATATATTACCGGATTTGATGAGATTATAATGAGCTTTTAATTATAATTATGCTGTAATTTGCTAAATAGAATATACTTGAAGTGAATTACATTTAACTACATTGTTTATTAATATTTATAATTAATTTTTTTGTGCTGCTTAGAGTAACATAAGCATATATAATTAAGTAAAGTACTCGTACATAAAACTTTAACTAAGTAGAAAAATCATTTTTAAATCGAGTAAATAATTGCACCTTGTAATCAAATATGCAATGAATTTTAAAAACTCTAATACAAATTCTAAAAACTTAAACGCTTGGTGAAACGTGCAATTTAATGTCTATCTCTTTTTGGTTGATGAACAATCATATTTTTCTTTTAACATTTTTGGTGGCACGATTGATTAAGCGAGTGGCGAAATCTTTTTTTTTTTTTTTTCTTTTTTAACCATTACAATTATGTTTAAGATACAGGATTTGTACAAGATACAAATTAAAATCTTTCCAAAGTATATGTCAAGCACAAATTCTATTTTGACTACGAATACATGATATTATATTAATATAAGAAGGGTATATATTTAAGTTTATTGTAATAAAAAGAAGACATTATGAAATAATACATAATTGTTAAATCAATTTTAGATAGAAACCGAGTTCCTTAAACGATAGGCATTTTCAATTCAAAAAAATTGTTATGATAATCGTATAAATTATAAGCTATCGAAAACGTTATGTATATTAAAAGGAAAAAAATTAAGTTTTATGTTTTTCTGCAACTCAACAAATGAGTCTAACCTTAATTTTTATCAATCACGTGCATTTATCGACAATGATATGAAGGTAATAGGAAGATAATAGCGCACAATACATTATCAAAAATTTGATTAAAATACATATAATAGGCTTGGTGTGATTAGGAATTTATGATTCATCCGTAGACTAAGAAATTAAAATGTTTAAAAACTGCTTTTTTTTCTTCTTCTAGTATAAACTGCGTGCGTGCATGCGTACGGTATTTATGTGTGATATTTATTCCCCTATGTATGCTTGAATGAATCTTATCTAGTTAGTTTTGTAACAAGTGCATTATCATTCTTTTCTAATGCTTGAAAATTATTGAGTATATGAATGTATTTATTAATTTGGCATTTGCCTATTATATTTTAATGTCTCGATAATACATTTACTTTTGACGAAACGAACATTAAATAAAAAAATAAAAAAAAAAAAAAAATAAAAAAAAAAACAATCTATTTAGAAGATCATTGCTCTTGGGGTCATTAGATTTTATAATGAAATATATTTTATTTATCTAACATTTTTCCCTATTTCCTTGATGTATAAATATAAGCGAGCAATTATATTTTTGAATATGTTTGAAACGAAGAAATTAAAGCGCATTGACGTCACAATCCTTTTAAATGCATGTGATATACCGATCACGTAATGTATGGAATTTTTTGTTTGAATAAAACTCCAAAACATATAGTTGCGATATGAAATTTAACGTACTCCTTCTCAGCACAAATATTATTAACGATAACAAAATGAAATGAAGATTCTTACTCTTAACTTCCTTAATAGCCTGTTTTGTTGTCGTTTACGAATACTAGGATTTGTTTCAAAACTGTGTGGTCGTTTCCGTTTCTTCGCCGAAACAATGGCTGCAGCTGCGGCAACACCAACAGGTCCTACGCAAATAGAGTTTTGAAGAAGAAAAATATCGTCTTCCAACATTAATTGCATGCAAATTCAACTACACAGTTTTTTTTTTTTAAACAAAAATTTTTTTAATCTTTTTTTTTTTTTTTTTCAATTTTTTTTTTTTTTTTTTTAGAAACAATAAAACACAGAATATGTAATATCGAAGTAAGTTAGTAGCAAGCATTATAGATGAAAAATATTTTGTCCAGCCACGTGCAAGGAATCGAGAGACTTTTAGTATAGAATGAAACATTGCAATTATAACAATTATACATTTTGAAATGATTATTTTGCAATGATTCGAAATCGCCTCCAAATGCTCTAATAATAGCACCCTGTTAGATTACGCTACTTCTAAAAAGATAGTTTAAGTTTAATTGTATGGGGTTAGTTGATAATGTTTAAAAATAGCATCTTGGAATATGAGAAAATAAGAGTTGGAATTAATTAATAGTAAGCAATTACAACAATGAGGTATTGGAATAAAAGCAGAGCCAGGTACACCATACCATTAAATAGTTCAAATACAATAAAACTTGAATATCCGATATTTTATCAATGGCGCATTCTACATTTTATCATCATCGGGCTGATATTTTGAAATCAATTGTAATTCAGAAAAAATGCCGACTTATTAGACGATATATCTTCAATTAAAAGTTTTTAACGGCTTAATGAAAGTGACGATATATCCGAGCGTGAGAAGCATTTATAAAGCGGATATGAAACTATATATTTGCAAAATAATAAAGCATTTCTTTTCTTCCGAAGTATTATCAATCAACAGATTATAGAACTCTCGTGTGATTTTATATCACATTGAAAGTCCTCGTTACGCCTAAATACTTGCTTGTAGTTATTATTTCGTACGTTAAATAAAATACATAAGAATTTGTTTAAAGTACTATATTAGTATTAATAGATCCAGTTTTATGGTATTTGAAAGGAGAAAGGAGATTGCATTACTTGCTTAAACGTAAAACTAAATATTAAAACGCTGCAAACAAAAAGTAAAAGAAAAGGGGACAGGGGCGGGCGGGCGTGAAATAATAGAACGTGTAACAATAAGTTATAATAAGACATAAAAAATATGTTTTAGTAATTTCCAATTTCACCAGAGTGTGAAGATCGAGCATGTCCATGTACATATTGCATAGATATTGCAAGCTGCGACCTACTTTTCGAGCTCACGGTCTTGGCACAACAAGATGATCGAATCGTAATAAAGAGCGAATGTTATGCATGGTATACATACAAACACGAACACACCGCGCGCATACGTGCACATACGCGCACTTGCTCACGTATATACGCACGCATGCATAAACTTGTATATATATATATATATATATATATATATATATACATATAATACACATATAAACACACGTGTGCGCATATATGCATATAGTCACTTGTAAATGCAATGTATGCGAGCGCGTGTAGGTGGGTGTGTGCATTTCTTTAATGCAATACAATTGAGCTTCAAGTGCGGCTCGCCGATCGTTAAAAAAACGAAAAATCTTGAAGTAGAAAAAAAGTAGAGAGTGCCGGGGGGTTCGAAAAAGCAAAAAAATGGAAATCACCATTAACGTGTTTGATTTGCCAACCTGCAGCGGCGAGTTGGGCCGTCACGTCATCATCCATGGCCGAGGCGAGGAGGTCGCCCTCCTCGTATGTCTCCGACCCACTCGACGGCTCGTCGTCGTCGTCGTCGGTGATCCGATCCGTCCGGTCGGACTCCGCGTTCGTCAGCGACGTCATCGTCTCCTCGTAGGGGGATATGACTTCTTCGAATTCCGAACCGGGATGGCTCTCCTCTTTGACGGGGAGAGGTTCACCGGCCTCCGCTTCCGTCGTAGACAGCTTCGGGTCGGTCGTGGGCTGCTGCGATAATACTCTCACTCGGCGTCGTCCCGGTGTTACTTTTTACATCACCTTGAGCTGGAGGAGAGAAGGCGAGACGAGGGGCTCGTTAGAGATGTGGTGTTTTGTCGCGAGTTGTCGAGCTCGCAGCAGTGCAACCTAAATTTCTAGGCCCTAATGTCTTTCTTTTATTGATAACTATTGTTTAAGCACCGTCATTGGTAGTTGGAATTAATTTCCGGGCGCATGGTTCGTCAACATTTAGACCGAATGTTATTCCCTTACCGATTTAAACGTTAACCCTTTGCATTCTATCGTTCGCGTTCATTAAATTTAAGCGCTAATCCGAGTAACCATTGCTTGTTTATAAAATTAGTGATTTTTATTAACTAAATAATCCCTCGCTAAAATGAAAAGTACAATATTTCGCTTTGGTATATTATTGATTTTCTCTCTCTCTCTCTCTCTCTCACTGTCTCTGTCTAATTGATTACTTTATATCGAAAATAAAATATCCAACTTCCTGATATATTTCAAATTGGTATTATCGTAATTGCATACGTAGTAAGACATTTGAAGCGCGAAGTAGGAGTTTCCGTGTGACATTGCGCGTAACGAATAGTCGATGAATGAACGAATCCATGAACATAGAGAAATCTATGCACTTCTGTTACACGACATCGATCGTTAATAATGATCGAAACGAAAAGGCGACTGGTTCAAAGCTTACGCACTTCGACGCATCATTATCCTATCGATTGAGAATACATAAAAGCGATTATTATCGCGTCGATCACGTAACGAAACATCATAACAAAAATAATTAAACTGAATTTCTACTACTAAAAAAGAACTAAAAAAAGGTTTGTTTTTTCTTTTTCAAATACTTTAATTAGGATGAAATTATATTTCGAATTTCAATGTTTATTTAAAATTCATGCTTTGACAATTGAACACGATATCATAATTAATTAGCTTTATTTGATACGTTAACCGTATCACTATTCCAATACCTATTACATCTTGTAGAACAATCGATCTAACGAATTTCGAGGGACTTTATATTTTTCGAACTAATTAGCTAAACGACCCGATTTAAATTTACGATCTCATTACTTGTTTTTATAACTTCAAAACAGCATCACTAAAGTGGCTGTTTAAAACGCAATGCTCACACAAGCTATGGTAATTAAAATATAAATACAATTCACGATTTAATCCAACAATAGTTCCAACTAAACCAGAAAATTGAACGAAGAAAAAAAAAATAAACAAAAAAACATCCTCGCTATTATTAACATCGATAAGCAATTCCAATTACGAAAAACATTGGCCAGCCATTAGAAGACACAAGCCCGACATTTAAGTTTGATCAATAAACGATCGTAATTATGAGGGAAAGATCGCAAACGTAAATAAATCGGGCCCACCCCAAGGGTTTACTAAAGGCCTACTAAAGCACATGCATGCAATGCTTCATCGAGGATGGGAAGTATCGATGCAGCCATCTGGTGAATCGACCGGGAGGAAGGGCGTAAAGAGGAGGTGCATTTTACGATTGAAGCGAATTTATTGATTTTTCTGAAGGAAGATAACCCTCCAAGGGAAACCTTAGACCGGTGTTTTTAAACGCCGCCTGCAGTTGACTCATATAGACGGTCACGGGACCCCATGCGTCAAACTGTTCCACCACCCCCCGCCGCCACCGCCGCCGCCGCCGCCGCCGCCACCGCTGCTGCTGCTACCGCCATCAGGCTACACTCACCCCAACGGTCGTAACGATTTCCCTTATGCTCAGCTGTCCCGGATCGAGCGCTCAATATCTCGTACGTAGGGAAAAGTCCGCCACAACATTCACATGCACGGGAGGCGAATAAAACTGAAAATGCATTTCCCCGCTCCTCCCTCACTCACACCCTTTAGCCCAGCCGCTACCGCCAGACGATCGAGCTCGGCTCCACACTTGGCTTAGCTTTTGTTTTGTTTGTTTTTTGTTTCATTTTTTTTTTGTTTTTTTTTTTTTTAATTGCGCGCACAGCAGCAGACTAGGCGAACGGCGCTGTATGTGTCACTGTACTCGGCGTCGAATCGCCCGATGTTCAGCATTTCGACGGTTAATGAATGGAATTGTCGTTTCGTGAGTGGAGGAGGGCATTCGCGCGTGTATCCATCCCTTCGCTGCAAATGAATTCGCAAGGGTAATTTGTAGTTTCTAGCGGTGCATAATGTCGACAGAAGATGAATAGCTCGCTTTAGCGCGAGAAGTAAATGAATTTCGGCAAGAAGGCGAGCGTTTGCCGTTGATTTAATTAATGGAATAGCACGTTATGAGCCGTCAGTAGTGTCAGTGGTGGTATAAAGCCGAAGGGAGGATAACGAAGATGGATAGTGGAAGCGAAAGAGAGAGAGAGAGAGAGAGAGAGAGAGAGAGAGAGAGAGAGAGAGAGAAAGAAAATTGGAGAGGGTGGACAGTGAGAAGGAAGAAATAGGGGGTGGGGTGAAGAGATAAGGCAAAGGAAATCGCTGACTGGGTGGCCTTTTGAAACAACCCTCGATATTACCCTCAAGATAAGCAAAGGGTGAGCAGAGGCAAGCGTCGAGCATTCGAGTCCCTACACTCGGCTTGTTCCTAACAAAATGGAAAAAAGCGATGGAGACGCTCTCTATTTCCAGAATCTTGAATATCTCCGCCCCCCAATTTCTCGCTTATTTCCCCTAATTGTATTTGTTTCTAAAGAGTCCAATACGCTTATGTGTTGGGTGGGGGGGGGGGGGGGGGGGGGAAGCATCAATAAAAGCTAACGACAACACGATACATTCGCATAAACGAGAATTCGAATCCGAGCTTTTTGGTCCCTATCGGTTGTATCGCGAATCAAGAATAACGGAATATCATCTTATAAAATCAATAATCTACGTGAAATCGCTGAGCTTCCGTTCTCATATCCCACCCCTCACCCTCACCCTCACCCACACCCGTCAATCTATCGCTCTCTCTTTCTCTCTCTCTCTCTCTCTCTCTCTCATATACACACACAGAACGCCGCGGGTCACTACAGTAATACATTTGCCTCTTTCTAGCTACTTCCGCTATTAAAGAGAAACGAAATAGTCGTTTGTTTAAACAAATCCCGACATTGCCTCTGCAGTAGTAATTATGCCCATCATCGTTTTACGTTCTTCCTAATTTCTCACGCCTATTTCTATTAAAAGTGGATGATTATGGCAATATTGGTAGTAAGTTCGAACGACCAGAAAACGACCGAAAATCTAATGCACAGCGACGGCAACCGCGGATTTTCGGCTTAAAAATCTCGCATGTGGAATTATAATGTCGATGGAGCGCGAGGAGTAGAGGAGGTAAAGTAGAGGTGCGACTGGGCCATCGGCGAGGCGCACGAGAACAAAACAAGATTACGGAATAAGTGGTTGCTCGGTGCTCCGGCGCCAAGGCAATGCCGCGATGCAATAGCAGCGCATGACACTCGCGCGTAAACACTAAAAAGAGAGAGAGAGAGAGAGAGAGAGATGTATATATATATACACTAGGAGGTCGGCAGCCCTTGCACGGCCACGCGAGCGTCTGCTGTCTCTGGTGCGTACGCACTCAGTGGGCCGTCCTGAGAGGCTCCCACCGTCTAAGTGTGCGCGAGAGAACGCGCTTGTCAGCTCCGGGTAGTGTCGGAGCGTACGTGCTTTCCTCTCGTTCTCGTTCTCATTCTCATTCTCACTCTCTCCCTCTTTCTCTCTCGCTCACTCACCACCACGCCCCGAGCACCGGTGCGTGCGCGCGCGCTTCCACATTGTGCACAGGCGCGTCTTCTCCGCGGCGGCGAGGTCTGCCGCGCGCGCAACAACGACGACGTCGCCGCGAAAATTTGACTGACGACAGCAACAGCAACAGCAGCAGCAGCAGCAGCAGCAGCAGCAGCAGCAACAGCAACAGCAGCCACTACTGCCGCCACTACCTACGTCACCACCGCCGGTGCTCCGATACTCTTTGCGCACCTCGTGTATCACGTATTACGAATGCACGCACGCACGCATGCACGCACGCACGCACTCACTCACGCGCCCATGCATGCATGCAAAACGAGTATTCACGCGGTCACCGGGAAAGCCCGATTGAGGTTATAGGAGAAGGCGCCATAGAGCGAGTAAACGCACTAAACTCTCGGCAGGCTAACCTCTATGCGCCACTGGCGATCACCGCGGCGGACGTTGGCTCTCGTAGAATCTTCGGGGCATCGCCGTCGCGACGATGACGGCGAGGAGTTGCTGTCGTTGCTGCAGCTGCACGTCAACAACGATAATGGCCATCGCGATCCACCACCATGTGTGTGTATGTGTGCGTGTGCGTGTGCGCGAGCGCCCGGGACTCGGGCGACACTCCGCGATTATTGCAAGCCGAGCGACGAGGAGGCCGCGTTTGCGTCCCTGCCGCTCGTTCGGAAAAGCACAGAGCGCGCGACGCTCCGCGCGCTTACACGCGCCCTAGGCACTATGTCCCTCTCGCTCGCATTGCGTCCTTCGACATCCCGCTCGCGCGCACGCCACGACTGGCCGCCTCAAGCGAGACGGAGCGAGGGTTGGTACGCATTCACGCAGCCACGCACGTATACACAGGCATGGAGAGATATGCTATGCATAGAGCTGCCAAGTTGGGTGAACAACAGAGAGAGAGAGAGAGAGAGAGAGAGAGAGAGAGAGAGAGAGAGAGAGAAAGTTAGAGAGCGAGAGACTGAGGGGGACGGAACACCGTAGTCGCTATCGATCGCGCGCCACCCATCGAGGGGCTGCAAACGGACTACTCACTCGTTCAACGTGAACACAGACGATACGCACGCAAACACGCGCGTAAGCACTCAGAGACGAGCGCGCGCGCTGACACAAGCACAACGAGATCTTTCTTTCTCATTCTATTCGTAATATTGTCGCCGCTCGTCGCGCTTCCGTTTATACCTACGAGTACCGACTATAATTTAACCATTAGCCGCTTACGATGAAACACTATAGTCGAGCATTTCTACTTTATTATTTTATCCGAGAGAGACGCTGGGGTAACGGCGGCAGTGTCGACGTCTATAAGTTTAGTATTTATTGATTGGCATAGAATGGAAACGAGGCACGATGACGATGACGATGACGATGACAATGACGACGACGACGACGACGACGACGACGACGACGACGACGACGACGACGACGACGACGACGACGACGACGACGACGACGACGACGACGACGACGACGACGACGACGACGACGACGACGACGACGACGACGACGACGACGACGACGACGACGACGACGACGACGACGACGACGACGACGACGACGACGACGACGACGACGACGACGACGACGACGACGACGACGACGACGACGACGACGACGACGACGACGACGACGACGACGACGACGACGACGACGACGACGACGACGACGACGACGACGACGACGACGACGACGACGACGACGACGACGACGACGACGACGACGACGACGACGACGACGACGACGACGACGACGACGACGACGACGACGACGACGACGACGACGACGACGACGACGACGACGACGACGACGACGACGACGACGACGACGACGACGACGACGACGACGACGACGACGACGACGACGACGACGACGACGACGACGACGACGACGACGACGACGACGACGACGACGACGACGACGACGACGACGACGACGACGACCACGATGGTGATGGTAGTGGTGGCGGTGTCGATTAAGCGTAATATGTGTTTGGCTGTGGCCAGTAATCTCGTTCGTTTCATAAAAAGAGGAACGACGAACAATCTACTACATTTTCCACGACTTTATCTATCTATTCATCTTGTTCCCGCGCGTTGGCTCTTGGCGCTTTCTCCTCGTCCGTTCGACAAGTCATCCGCCGCCAAGCAGCTGGACTTTTCGACGAAGACGAGAGGCCGCGCGAGGTCTCTTCGACAACGTGATTTCCCTCTAGACGCTCCTTTGGCCATCGCTTGTATAGCGATCGATCGGCCTACCGTCTCGGTCGCGTCTACCGCTCCCACTCCTCGGCATTGTGCGATCGCGCGCGCGCGCGCGCTCGCGTGTTCGAACACCACCGGAGCCAGAGCTACGGAGACGTTGTGGAAGGGGAGGGGTTGCGGGGGTGAAAGCGCGCGACCGGCGAGTTTCGTAATAGGCCGCGGTGGCGAGACGACACGCGGTGGCTCCTGAAGCCGCGCGCGCACATGCAGGTGAATATGACAGATGCGACATTCCCGTGTGGCGCAACATCCTCCGTCGTCCACCGTCACCGCATTTGTCATTATCGTCGTCGTCGTCGTCGTCGTCGTCGTCGTCGTCGTCATCGTCATCGTCATCGTGCCTCGTTTCCATTCTATGCCAATCAAACCGTCATCGCCGTCATCGTCGTCACCAGCGTCGGCTCTCTCGGTATCCACTCGTGGGTCCGACAGACACCTCGTGGTGCTGCTCCACCCGTAACGTCGTTCGATATCCCATGCAAGACGGCCCCATTTATAGCTCCGACTGCGTCCCCCACCGCGCCGCGGCCTCTCATGATCCGCTGCTCGTGCCAAAACACGTAGACGGCGGTGGCCGCGCAGCGCTTTATTAACTGGCTTTTGGCGCGCAGCCATCTTGAATGCGCGCCATTTGAAAGGGCCCAGTGCAGGCGAACCTGGGTCGCGTTCCTCGCGTCCGAGGCCCAACCAAGCTGAATGCCCGTAGACCCGGGGATCATCGTCGAGGGTATCGCTCGAGTCTTCGACTCACCGTCGATAGGGCCGCAGCTCTCGCGTGACCCAGGCGCATCCTCGCGCACGGCCATCTTGAAGCCTGCGCTCTCGCGATTAGGCCCAGCAGACGATGCCAGGGCGTCGAGCTCACCTACCTCCTCTCTCTCTCAGTTCGTCCCGGTACGTTCGGCTCTCGCGCGCAGCTCCGTCTCGGGGTGCGAGAGCGCGGGCGCGCGCCCGCCTATGCGTAAAGAGCCGCCGCCGTCGCCACCGCCGTCCATCGTCACCGCCACAGCCGCAGTCGCCTTGTGCGAGAGCGAGCGAGCGAGCGAGCGAGCGAACTAACTAACTAACTAACGAACTAACGAGCGAACGAGCCAAAGAACGAAAGAACGAAAGCACGTAGGGACGAGCGAAAATGAGAATACGCGTCCGTGTGTGTGAGAGAGAGAGAGAGAGAGAGAGAGAGAGAGAAAGAGAGAGGAAACGAGCGCGAGATAGACGCCCCCGCGGGCGGACAGAGTCGGGGACAGGAAGCCGCGACGAGACTCACCGCTCAGCTCTGGCTGGTCGCTCCTGCGGGGCTGCTCCTCGGGACTTCGGTCCTCTCTGCTGGCGCGTACTGCTGCTCGCGGTGCAGGTGCTGTCGAAGCGGCCGATCGCGGGAATCCGCAGCGCCATGTAGCCGAGAGGCGCTGCACTGGCTTGTAACGCTCGGACGCCGTGTAGTTGTGCGCGACAGGGCCTCCTCCTGCCCCTCCGCTATATACGTATATACCTCGTCGCTGCCGCCGCTGCTGTGTCGCCTATACAGTGCTTTTTAGGGTATTATGCTATAGGCGGAGAGATCAAGAGGTCCGCAACACGCGGCGGCGACGGCTCTGCACAGTGGCCTTACGAAGGCGGTGATTGGTCGAGCCGAGGCTCCCTGGCCGATGGCGCCACGGCCTCCAGACGCCGGCGGCCATTGGTCGAGGCGTGGGACCACGTGACGCGCCGCGGCCTCGCTCCGAGTTCGAATCGCGACTGAGACGTTCGTTGGCGTCCTCGACGAGAGTCCCCGTCGGCCGCACCCTGCGGCCCAAGGCCAATCGTTCGCCCCACGACTCATCACGTTCGAAGCCAACCTCGCTCTTTACGCTAAACATTCGGCTTACCTCGATCGCCGCGAGCTTTGCCCAACCCCCCTTCCGCCCCTGCCAATACCAACGTAATACCGCTTCAGATTATTCCTCCTTTCATCCATTTAGTTTATTGGATTTCATTATGAAGCTTGACTCAACGCGATGACCCTCGGACGGCTAAATCTTATAATAAATTCGTTGACGCGCACTCCTTACCCCAAAGTCATATTCCAGCCAATATCCTATATGGCCAATATTAACAGAAGAGAGATATGCGTACGGCTGATGCACGTACGCGTGCGCGCGCGCTCGACCGCCCGTTCGCTCTCGCATGTGCGCGGCTGGGCTTTAGTATTAATATTTTAGAGCAAAGTTTGCGAATCATAAGTCTTAGGAAGGCGGAGACTTAGGTAGGCTTTCCCCACAATTATTGCTCTTCGTAATGTGAATTTATTGTCGGCTCTGCGTAGTGCGAAACGCGAGGAGAAAATGATATTTGACGTTAGATTGGCGCAAAGGGGGAAGGGTGAAAATGATGTTGTTTTGATTCGTCTAACCTCACCTTTCGGTACCCCGTGCACTTACCAATTGTAAACCTAAAATTTCCAAAGACTACGCGTCAACTGCGTTTTTCGTAATTAAATGTCTCGTAAGCATATTTACATGATTTTTAATTTTCTTCTCAATACCTACGCACAGGCAAGTTCGTGAACAGGCGCGCGCGAACGCGTCCACATGTTTTCACATCGTCATATATACGCGTGTGCGAATGATTGATGCTGGTGTGCGAAAATGTATGCATGCACATGAAGTTCCTCGTTTTAATTATTCGTTAATTCTTATCGACCTAATCCATGTTCTAAAAACAATTGGAGTAAGATATTACCCTAACCTTATCTCTATTCGTTTCTTTTATTTGAAAGTAAGTTCTATTCAAGTATCTTATTCTGTTTTTTTTTCTTTTTTTTTCTTTTTTTTCTTTTTTCTTTTTTTTCCCTTTTTTTTCTTTTTTCTTTTTTTTTCTTTTTTTTTCTTTTTTTTTCTTTTTTTTCTTTTTATACAATTTATTGCAAATTCAATAAATAAATGTTGTGATACGCGTTGTATTTGTCATTTAAATCTTGATAAAGGGCAATAAATTCGATGATAACGAATGCTAAACAAACGGTGTATTGTATACATTGTGATACAACCACACATCATCGCGTATCAGCTTGCTGTTTGCTGTCGTTTTCATACATTTAAATATACATTCGATTGATACAATGCTAAAAATAATGCATTTATTTTTATTTGCTACAATTCACGAAAACGATATAAATTTATATCCTTACATTTATATTTATTTCATGTATAAACAATATTTTCAATATAGAATTATATAAAAATGTATAGTGAGTTAGATCATCGCTGTAAATAATAAATGAAAAATAGTTGTTTCGTTTCTAAACGATCATTACGATAGATCGAACGAAATGCAAAAATCATACAATTAGAAATATATAGAAGAGAAAGAAAAAGAAGGAAAGAAAATGGTGTAAAATAGCTTTACATATCACATGTCTGGTGAGATACATTTTTTACAATCGTACCGCTCGTTGTTTCCTCTCCAAGTTGCAGTACCACAAATATTTATTTTAATTCCACCACTCCAGTTAAGTGTCATAGATTCTTCATTCCAAGATCGAAATTTAACACTTTAGTTTCTGAATTTGCCATACAAATAATACTGAATCCAATTTTAGCTGCGTCCGATAAATGCAGTTTCTATTCCACATTAACGGTAAATCACTGAATATTGTGCGACGATGCTTAAGGCTGCATGCATGGTGCACTTAATCGTTTAAGCCCATGGTTTGTTTTTATTGCACAATTTTCCAAACCATCCAGGCTCGCAAAGACATGTATTGTCTGGTTGACATGTGCCATTTCTGCAAGGCTTTGTGCAGGCCGACCGCTGGGGAGAACGTCTACCAATTTCACAATGATCTCCTTTAAAGCCAGTCGGGCATCTACATATATTGTTGCCCTTGCACTTTCCTCCATTTAAACAGGGTATTACGCACTTAGCTGTATTTAAATTGTTAATTAGACAGTTTTTAAAAGAGTTTTTACTCAGTAGCTTTGATACTTACAAAATTCACATCTTAAGCCAAAAAATCCTTTTGGACATTCGCACGTGTCTTTTTGTACGCATTTGCCACCGTTTAGACACTTCTCAGCGCATATACCTAAAATTCAATGCCTTTAATAATGTCATATAATTTATTGTAGATTTTAAAGTTATGAAGATGTTGAATGCTGGCAGAGGATCTGTTCGATTCCTCTCATTGAACTCGGCAGCTCCATTAAGAACTAAAAAAGGACGAATTATGGATTCAATAATTAGAGTGGATCATGCAGGCGAATTTGGAGCAGACAGAATATATGCTGGGCAAATGGCTATACTAAGTCAAATAAAAATTCTTATTTATAAAATTAAATTTGATGTAGATAAAGAAATAATTTATCGTTGTATCCGATAACTTTGTCAGAGTAGCATATTGCTTATACTTTACATATATAATCTATATATTGAGAAAATCATTTACTATAATGGAAAAAATCAACGGACAAAACGATAAAAATCTTTTTAATCGCGTCTAAGTCTCTTAGAGTAGCGCGTCATTTAAAAGTACTTGAAAAAATGTCTATTCGCATACGACTCAATTGAGACTTAATATTGTAGGAAATTCACCATCTGGTCCAATGATCGAACATATGTGGAAGCAAGAGCAGGTTCATAGGCAAAAATTTGAGGAATTAATTCGGAAATACGGCGTTCGACCTACAGCTCTACTTCCCGTTTGGAATGTAGCAGGCTTTTTACTTGGTGCCAGTACTGCCTTACTCGGTGAAAAAGCAGCCATGGCCTGCACAGTCGCCGTTGAGGATGTCATTGTGGAGCATTATAACGATCAACTAAGAACTTTGATGGAAATTGGCAATGAAGACGATAAAGAAATCCTTGACACGATCAAGAAATTTAGAGACGATGAATTAGATCACTACGATACAGGATTAAAACATGGAGCTAAGCAGGCTCCATTCTACGAAGCTCTTACGAATGTCATTAAATTAAGCTGCAAGACTGCTATTACAATATCTAAAGTTATTTAGACATAAAGTCTTGTGAAAATGTAGAAAAGTATATAAACTTATTTTGGACAACTTTTTAATCAAATTGTAATTCGCCTTCAAAAGAACTTATTCTTGTGCAGTCGATAGCTCATAATTTGAATATTTACATCGAGACCTTATAAAGTATTTTAAGTATCTAAAGACTTCGTACGTGCTACTCTGTGACAGTATTGGCACGTAGTTTTTATTATAATATTGCTTTAATAAAGCTAATGCTAATAAAGATGAATTAAAGCGGAGACTGACATACCTCCTTCGCAATATGGTCCTTGAAAGCCAGGTGGACACGAGCATACTCCTGGTGCCGTGCAATTTCCGCCATTCATACAGTTTGGGTAGCACAAAGCTTTTTTACAATGTGGAGGTCCTAGATAGCCGTCAGGACACGGCCCTGGATTAGGCTCTGCAATGTAAAGATGAAATTAATGCTTCTTTTTTTATAAATAGTCTCGAAAGAAATGTCAAAAACCCCATTGATTAAGCTTTTCATAATCGTTGGAATACCAATGTAAAGGTTACTAATTGTATATGTTTTCTGGTACGCGAATGTCACATTCTCTGCTCAAGTACTGAGCAAAAAGAAAGAATGTGTTTAGATTTCATATACCAGACTTGCAATACATCAATTTTTATTATAAAATAATGTGCAGCCATTATTATTTTATTTTTTTAAATTGTACATGATATTAAATATCAGTTTTTTAATCATAACGGAACTTTTGTTAAACATAAATGTTTACCGTGTTATTTTACAACATTTTTGTCTAATATAATTAAAATTTTTAAATACCATTTTTTAATATCAAATACAATATTATAACCTTTAGGTGTTTACAGTATTTTTAAAACATTACATAATGATCAGAAATTTTTGGCATTTCATTTTACAGAAACGCTTATAACTAAAAACAAAAAGCATATAAATGCATAATATTCTGTACATAAAAGATTACGTTTGCGATGTAGACATCATTTCGATAATAAAATTTTTCTCATATATTAAACACACATATTTGAACGGCAATAATCGATTGGAGTACCGGAAAATATGTACGGATAGAACATTTGCTTGATCAGCGATGGCATTTATTTTTTACGGTATAAACTGTCATTAGCTTGCATTTTAAATTTTAGTTAAAAGTTTCGCGATTTTACATCATTTTTACTTTGCCAACCAATATTGTGCATTAATTACTGCGAACTACGAATATAAGTAACGCACTGTCGTTATAATTTCGTATAGACATGGACGGGGAAAAAAGTAATTCGCGCAAAAGGTATCGATACGTATGCCTTAATTGACTAGCGGTTCTATCGCAAAATATAAAAAGAAAAGAAGAATTTTACATTTATAAGTATATTTTGCCAATGAGGCAGTGTTTGTTAAAACGTTGCACGTTTCAAAGAAAAATAAATCGAACGTACATGGTAAAACGCTATTCCATTTCTAATATATAAAAAAAATAATATATAGCCGAGTATATCCATATGTTATATTTGATATAACTTTCTTGCATTTAATGATATGCTTAGATAGTTTTAAGCTATTTGTACAGTGTTATTTAGAAAATAAATTTTTTTATAATTTATGTAATGGAGCAAACGTTACATGTAGTCGGTAAATGATATTCACATAACAATTAATTGACAATTATTTGTAAATTTGTAATATCATGAGTCACAAAGTCAATTATAATTAACAAACAATTTCATAGCTTTATTATCGTCTTTGGTAAATATGCAGTTTAGTTTGAGTATTTATGTGTGTATATTAAAAAAAAAAAAAAAAAAAAAAAAAAAAAAAAAAAGGCACGGCTGCCAAGAAAAACTAAACAAACAAAAAAATTCAATGAGAGATATTTCTTCCGACATCAAAAAGGAACAAAGATCCTGTGCCATCTGTAATAAGGAATTCAATGGTTCAACGTTGAAAAAGCGTACACATTGTCGCTTAGCGGGCAACAATATCTTGTCGTGCTCTTTCCTTTGATAATTTGCTCAATTTATTCTAATTTCGTTAAAAAAAAAAAAAAAAAAAAAAAACGCTTCATTCGGCACGGCTGCCAAGAAAAACTAAACAAACAAAAAAATTCAATGAAAAGCGCCTCTTTGCAATTAATCGTGAACGGGAGACCGGATTCGTAAGCCCGAAAATCCTGTCCACCTCGCGAGTGTCTGATATTTTCTCACCTCACAATACTTCACTCGCCCATTGTTCTTCACCTTTCGTTCGGTACGACGCAATCGGCACGCCTTTAACAAACACTTTAGCACGCGCGCACGACTTCCCATTTACAGCTCGAATCGTCAAAGCGCCATGTAACTACCGAATCCCGCGATAACCCTGGAGGCTACTCTGTCAATTGCAATGACTCGTATCACTTGTCCATCACTTATCTAAAGAAATCCCATTGAATTATCATTAGATCTAAGCGAACGGGGGTCTTGTCTCAAGCTGTCAACGAGCATAGGACTATCGACTTTCTCGATAAACCGCAACGTTCTCCATTTACAGATATGATCAAGCTTTACGAGACCAAGTGCCATCGTATCACTTTGTCGAATCCACGTGGATGCGGTTGCTCGAGCGCGTCTCCCTCCCCCTTCCCCCTCTGCCCCTCCCGCCAACCGATCCCTTCCCCAATCAAACGACTGCGTCTCTTTGAAAACAGCACCCTCCTTGCTTGCGCGCCGATCAGCATCGATCGCGACACATTGCTCTTGCTTATAGATCGAAGCATGCAGCTAATTAGTGACGATGATTATACTGGTGATACAGAACTGTATGTGTGGGTGGAGAGGTGGTGATCGTGGGCGCGACTGACGCACTCACCGCGCACGGCGCATTCTTTTCTCAGGCTGAGCCGCAGGGGTGTCCCGTTCAGTGGCTTGTTCTTGCGCGTCTCGATCATCAGACCGATTCCGAATTGTGCGACCCCGGAATTGTTGCCCGAGCACGGCAGCAGTACACTGAACTCTGGAAATAAAAAATGCAACGTCAGGCACTCAGGCGCAAGCCTCCGTTCACCTCGACACCGTCATTTTTCACCTCCTCAAGAGCTCGCAGCTCAGTGCGATCGCTCGTTATCGATTTACGATCTCGTTGCCTCTCGGGCTCTACTGCCCGACTAATTACCCTTCTCAGACCTAACGCAAGTTAAGTTATTCGACGCGTTTCTCCAATTCTTGTATTAATATCTCGGAAATTATTAACAATTATCGATTTTACGTGCTTGGATCCGCGATTACGTATGCTGAGAGCTATTGGCTAATGAATTATTCTGGGAGCTCCAAGTCAAAAGAGTCGATAATTTTCAAATTATTATTAATTAAAGTTACTTGTCCCTCCGGTCCGAATAATTCCTAATGTCAAACAACTTCCGTTCGATTTCCTCGTGCGCCAAAAATTCGATTTAACGTTCCTTTTTCATTGCTGAATTAACCAAGATTTTTACTCTAACGGTTCAGAGACGAACTTTTGCTTAATTTCCAAATCCGTTACTTTTCATTCGACATTAGCATAAATTTTATTTACATAATCCGACGCTATTAATTATTATGATATATATTAGCAAAATTAACTTTCGAAAATCATGATTCTTAAATTATTTTCATTTACATTGTATACTAAATGCATCGTATGAAATAATTGATTAAAGTCTTTCAGAATTTACAAGCACTTATTATTAATCTAAGATATTTAAGATATTTATATTTTTTGTAATTTACAATTATTTCACTAATGATGAAATCAGTCACATTTATTGGTGTACTAAATTAGAATATTTGAACAAACTTTCCTTACATTACTAAGAAAAAATTGAAAGTATATGAACAAATTTAATCAATTATCAATTTTATTTTCTGATCTTAAAAATTATTTCTTTCTAATATATGCTGCTCAACTTATTTGTTGGCGCATTTCAATAAATTTGCATTTTCTCATACATTGAAGAAATTACTTTTTTAATTAATTATATGGCGCATTTAATTGTAAATTATACCATTTAACTACGAATATTTATTAATAATCGTTATTAAAAATTTTAATTGTCATTCGCGAGCTTTGATAAATCGATCGGGAAATTAGTTGATAATAAGGATAAATTTTACGAAACACTGAAATTCAATATACAACGATTCGTCATTATTTATGACATTACACAAGTACAAATATACTTTATTCGCATCTTATGAATCATTTCACAAATATAATAATTATAGGTATAATTATACTTTTTATGAAACGAAATCGAAGCTTCGATAAATCTGGTTAGATAAATATGCTGTTGCATTTGAGTTTTCCCGAATGAAAATAAAAGTATCGATGATTCATGAAAAAATCTTTCTCGTGACACACGTTATTATTTGCCAGTAACCGAAACATTTAATTAATGTACATTTAAATATATTCTGTTGTACACTGTGTATTTTTATAATTATCGAGAGGCGTAGTAAATGAGTGAAATTTCTGCATTTCAAGTCAGTCTGACACACAACTGGTAAACATACAATGTATTCGGAGAAATATCAATTTGATATAACATGTTATTCGATCTACTTTTTCTCTCTTTTTTCCATCTTCATTTCTCCTCTCTCCCCCATCGCCCCAATGAAAATTACAACATTCTTTTTAATATCCGACAACATAACTCTAACGTGAACAAACTTGTATTAAAACACTCGTACAAAGCTGTTTTAGGCAATTATTTGCATATTAATATGGCATACCTTTCTGCCGTTTGGGCACGCGACCTTGTTTCTTAATTGTGATCGAGGGCGTTTTCAATATTGATTCGTCAAAGGATTTGAGCAAGAAGAAGTCGTAGTAGTATTTCTTCACGCCTGACTTCCATGTAAAGTTCACGTAGGATACCTCGTTTGGGATGATTGGCAATTTACTCTCGAATTCTGGATCAAGTAAATAAGGAACCACTCGGCCCTCGTCGATTGCATATATTTCCATTTCGACACCTGCAAAAATTCGACATCCACTTCATTACAGGCTAGTTTCTTTCATGAGAATTTCTTCATTTATACTCTCAAATAATACGCTTTATAAATTTCTCTCGCTACAAAATTATCGCTAATTCGATTCAACAGGCCAATTCAACAAATTTTGTATTCTAATTCAATTGAAAATCTAAATATCAAATTATAGATAAAAAATACAATTTGAAAATTTTAATTGTTAGTTTAATTTTTCATTGTTCATTTATTTTTCAATCCGATAAAATTTGCAATTGAAAAATTCAATTGAAAATAGAAAAAAAAAGAAGATATATATATATATATATATATCTTCTAATCAGCAAAGACGAGAGAGCGTTTTATGTAATAATTTTCCAGCAAATTTAGCCGATGGTATTGGAAAGTAAATTAGTAATTTAAAATTTCAATATTTATATTAGAAAATTTATGACCATAATTTGTTACTTCTGAAAACAAAAAAGACATTGAAATTAATTTAGCATTTACATGTCCGAATTAACGAGCCAGTAGTCGATGATCCTATATTTTATACGAAAATTTAACATCACTTGTAGAAATTTTTAATCCCATGGAATTTAAATTAAATTTAAATCACTCAATCCAATTATAATTTTTGACCACTGAACGGATGACATCTTTTCCCTCGCTTCAAATAAACATCATATTTATTATTATAATAATTATAATATTATTTTTAAAACATTCGTTATTTTAGATTATGTTTAATATACATTAAATATAATAATTTTACTCGTCCTTCAGTTTCACTCAGTCTACTGAAATACATTGTTGCAAAAGCTTCGTGTTAACTGCAACTCCCAATAAGACATTTATAATTATTTCTTTCTATTAATGAATTCATACTTTTGCAATTCAGCCGTTTGAAAAATATCATACGATCAAACAGAAATAGATAATGAAGCGAGTGAAATACACGTTTTAATGTTTAAATTGCTATTGATACTAAGTTATTTCAAACTTTATGTCATATATGTTTTCATGTCTATCAATATTCTCTTTTATCGTTTATAAAATAAATTTTTAAGCAATTATCATTTGCACAAAAATGCATTTCCACTTCGTAAATGGTTTTTATGTCAATAAATAATCGTCATTTCATCAGTCGTTGATTCGATCGATCGAAGTACAAATCGATCGATTCAATGTATTTTAGAATTTGCCAAATTTACCATGGCCTATTCGATATTTGCTAACATTTTACGTAGATTATATGAAATTATTTGCGAAAGTCGAATCAGTCGAATTATCAAGCTATACGCTATCAGAAACTTGTCTATTATTGTAATTTGTAAAATTGCTATTATTCTTTCGTAATATTTTCGTGTAAATTTAATTATACTTTTTTTTTTTTAATTTTCTTATTTTTTCTTTCTTTCAAATAGTTTTCATCGAATATTGCATAGAATTTTTAATGTTAAGATATTATGGGCCGATATTCATACTACTACTTTTACATTTTAATCGATAAGCGAGGACAAAGATCGTAAGGACGATTAATTAATGACAATGGCATTAAATAAGTGATAAATAGATTAGTCACAAAATCATTGATATTACTTGAAATTCTTCAATTTTCCTATGCAATAATTTTATGAATAATTTCACCAGTTTCACGGGCCGACAATTAATATTCCAAAAATGTGCATATTAAATGGAGAAACGAGTATGTGGCGAGGAGCGTAAAATGACGATGAAGCCATTGCATCGTACATTGTTAAAAGTTCTTTCAGGCCTTAATAATCAATTGTCGCGGCTGATTTTAATTTTATTTATAGTATTCAAATGCACTTATACTTGATTCGTGCCATTAAATGGCGTCGGTGAATAGAGCCGAGGGCAAGCGAGCAATGTTAATTATGTAAATTGCACTCGAGTGTGGGGATTAGTGCGGGAGGCAGTGTCAAGGGCGTAGGGAGAAATTCGTTAAAAGCGAAGGAAAGAGCGGCTGAATAAGGAAGCGTGTGCTTAAGAATCGATTCTATAAGGGTCAGGCTAGGCTGAGCGATAAGGTAAGTCGCGTAGAAACCAGCGCGACGATGAAAATCGGATGATGGCCGGTGGGGTGGTCCGGAGGGGGAGGGGTTCATCGCGCGAACTCACCGCTGAACATTTTGATTTGCTGACGATCGATCCAGAGGGTCATGTCACCGTCGGGCTTGTGGCCGTTGCCGGTGCGCCGGTGCCTCGCCTCGCAGGTCGGCCCGCCGAGCAAAAGGAGCAAGAACAGCGCCACCGAGGCCGGGGCCGCCCCAGCCCACCGCATATTATATTTCCAGCTCGCGCTCCCTCGCTCTCTCCCTCTCTCCCACCCTGTCACTCTCTCTCACTCTCTCTCTCTCTCTCTCTCTCTCTCGCTCTCTCCCTCGCCCCTCTCTGTCGGTCAGTCAGTTAGTCAGTCAGTCAGTGAGTCTGTCAATCAGTGAGTCTATTGTTTTGCCGTCCGTATGTATCTATCTCCGGCTTGTCCGACTGCCGCGCGCGCGCGCGCGGCCAAGTATCTACGGGGGCCTCAAGGGCTCGCGGGTCCCCTAGTGCTGGAGGTACGGCCTACGAGGGGGCGGCCGTGGTCGCGCTCGGTCATGCCAGTGGCTACGGTCGGTGCGGGTCGGCGGGGATCGCGTGCTGCACACTCGGCTCGCCACGGCGAACTGAGGCCCCAAGGCCCGACCGGACGCCGGACCCAGCGGCCACCCCTCTACGAGCGCGGCCGGCCCCACCTCCTTACGGCTCCCCCCCCCTCCCCCCCCCCCCGCCGCGCGGAGAC